TATGTTTAGTCAGTTTCCGGACTTCGGTCGCGATGCAGGGGGCAAAGGCCCTAGTTAGTCCGGACTTCGTCCGATGCAGGGGACAAGATCCCAGTCAATTTCCGGACTTCGGTCCGATGCAGGGGGCAAGGCCCCAGTTAGTCCGGACTTCGGTCCGATGCAGGGACAAGGTCCCAGTCAGTTCCCGGACTTCGGTCCGATGCAAGGGCAAGGTGAAACGACCCAAAAAACACGACCCAAAAATTTTCGTTTTTCAATATAATCAAAACCTAATATAAGTATCATAACATAAAACATACGCGATGTATCCCAAAACATAATAAAATATTGTGAAAACTGTATCATACACATCAATCCAAAACATCAAAAGACATCCCAGGATAAAAGCTATGCTGTGGTGTGTGCGATGCTGTCACCCGAGCTCTTCCCTTTGCTTGCGGAAGTACCTGAAACCAAACTGAAACTGTAAGCACGAAGCTTAGTGAGCTCCCCCAAACTACCACATACCATACAAATAACATATAAACACATATTGGGCCTTGCCCACTGCATCGGGCCGAAGCCCGGAACTGCATCGGACCGAAGTCCGGAACTGTCTGGGACCTTGTCCCCTGCATCGGACCGAAGTCCGGAACTGTCTGGGACCTTGTCCCCTGCATCGGACCGAAGTCCGGAACTAACTGCATCGGACGAAGTCCGGAACTGACTGGGACCTTGTCCCCTGCATCGGACCGAAGTCCGGAACTAACTGCATCGGACCGAAGTCCGGAACTGACTGACTGAACATGGCATAGCATAACACATCAACTAGCATAACACATATACGACATGCTACATCGGGCCGTGGCCCGGAACACATAATACTTAACACATAAAACATAGCACACAAATCCTGTTCGAACCACGAAGGCATCGAACATACTAACTACTGCATCGGACCTAAATCCGGAAACTACTGCTAACTGAACGGGCCGGCATTGTGGCCTTAGACCCGTTCCTACTGGAAGGAAACTCACCTCGTAAGCTGGCTGCTGAGTGTGTGGCTCGGAAAGCTAACGGCGGCTGCTCCTGAATCTCCTCGGCTACAAGTCCATAAACACACTCAATCAAATACTAAACACTGCGCTTGGGGTAAAATGACTCTTTTACCCTTGGTCAAAGTCAACTCTCTTTGGGCTGACTCGCCGAGTTGGGCCACCCAACTCGCCGAGTCCTACTCTCACTTTTCACTTTTACTCACTGCTACTCGTCGAGTCTGGCATCGACTCGACGAGTACCCTCTTGATCCAAGAACTCAGACAATCTTCATCCGACTCGCCGAGTCGTATGAACAGACTCGACGAGTTGTTCTTGATCCCAAGAAGATTGCCTTGGACTCGCCGAGTTGATGAACTCGCCGAGTCCCTCCATCACTGAGTTCACCCTCAACTCGCTGAGTCCACTCTCTAACTCACCTCGTCCACTCGACACTGATAAAACTGAAGAACTCGGGACTCGCGACCAACTCGTCGAGTCGTTCTTCCGACTCGCCGAGTTGCCGCCATGCAACTGATTTTTTTCGATTTTGTTTGAATCCAATGCATACAATTGATAGATCTGAGTCCAATAAGCTGATTTACCACGTAAAGTTTCCAACTTTACGTGCACAACCTCATGAATAAGGGAAATAAGGCTAAAAGATGCATAAAATGGGTAGATCTATGGTTATCATGCAATATAACTCCAAAAAGACAGTAGATCTGGGCTCTACAACACCCCATTCAGATCCATAGCTATTTCGACTTAATAAGACATTCATGCAAGTGTAAGGCTTGGAACAAGCATCAACTAGCTCTTAGGAGAGCTCTAATGGAAGTTTAAAGCATATAACAAGATGGAACTCCGAAAATACCTCAATTAACTCTGATTTGGCCTTGGATCTTTGCACTACAACACTTCTCCTTGCTTCTTCGCTTCTTCTCCTTCTTCACACCTTCACAAAATGGCACCAAAACACATATAAGCTCTTCAAGGGAGGATTAGGGTTCTCCACTGTGTTCTCAGGGTGAGGGAGGCGAGGATGGGGGCTATAAGGTGGTATATAAGTGGGCAACCCGGGATTTTAGGGTTTCACCCAGACAGATGGACTCGCCGAGTCAGGGATATGGACTCGCCGAGTCCCGGCTCACGCGTGCCCTCAGGTGCGACCCTACTCGGCGAGTCAGGCTAGAACTCGCCGAGTCCCTCTTGAAAAACTCACTATAATTACCAATAAATCAACATACCGGGAATGGGTCGTTACAGTTCTCCCCCACTTGTCTCAGACTTCGTCCTCGAAGTCTGCTACGGCTGGATCTGCAAATAACTCCGGGTAGTGCGCTCTCCTTTCCTCTTCACCCTCCCACGTCCATTCAGACCCCTTCCGGTGCTGCCACTGCACCTTTACTAGCTGAATTACCTTGTTCCTCAAGGTCTTGGTCTTCCGTTCCAGAATCGCGACCGGTCTCTCGATATAATTCAGGCCGCTATCAACCTGGATATCCTCTAAGGGAACGACTGCCGTCTCATCACCAAACACTTCCTTAACTGCGACACGTGGAAGGTGTTGTGTATCTGACTAAGATCCTCAGGGAGATCTAACCGATAAGCAACCCGACCCACCCGGGCCAAAACCCTGAAAGGACCAATAAATCTGGGGCCCAATTTGCCCTCTTCCGGAACCTAATGACACTTTCAAGGTGAGACTTTCAGAAGAACCATGTCGCCCACCTGGAACTCCAAGTCCGAACGCCTCCTGTCGGCGTAGCTCTTCTGCCGACTCTGCGCACAGTCTGCAGCCTACTACGGACCTGCTGGATCAATTCTGTCGTCTTGAGCACCACTTCGGTGCTCCCTATAACTCGCTGACCGACCTCGCCCCAACAAATCGGGGTCCTGCACTTCCTGCCATATAACATCTCAAAAGGAGGTCGATCAATACTCGCATGATAACTGTTGTTATACGAGAATTCCACTAACGGAAGATACGTATCCCAACTGCCCCCAAAATCTAAAACACATTCCCTAAGCATGTCCTCGAGAGTCTGAATCGTCCTCTCGCTCTGCCCGTCAGTCTGAGGATGAAAAGCGGTGCTGAAATGGAGACGAGTACCCATCTCGTCGTGGAATCGCTTCCAGAATCTGGACGTGAAACGAACATCTCGGTCCGACACCACCGATACCGGCACTCCATGACGTGCCACAATCTCTCGCACATAGATATCGGCTAACTTTTCCGCCGAAATACTCTCCTGAATCGGAATAAAATGGGCACTCTTCGTCAACCGATCCACTACTACCCATATCGAGTCCACCCCGCGTGCGGTCCTGGGAAGTTTGGTGACAAAATCCATGGTGATGTCCTCCCATTTCCACACGGGAATGTCTAACGGCTGCATCTTGCCGTGAGGTCTCTGGTGCTCCGCCTTGACCTTCGACAGGTCAAACATCTCTCCACATACCAAGCGACATCTCGCTTCATGCAGGGCCACCAATAATCAGATCGAAGATCTCAATACATCTTCGTCGCTCCT